CTGCTGCTAGAGCTTCAATTTAAAGAGGTGCTGAAGTTGCCTTTCTTGGGTATGCTCACTGAGTCTATGATGGTTAAATGGTTTATTTCCTATCGAGTTTATAAAAAATAAAAATAATAATAAATTAATGAAGCATTTCGCTGCTGCTAGAGCTTCAATTTAAAGAGGTGCTGAAGTTGCCTTTCTTGGGTATGCTCACTGAGGTTAATGGCGAACAATAATCTAATGTAATAAATGTATTATATTCGTTATGTTCATTATGAATTTAGGGTATTTTATAGCAAACATTTTATATCGAAAAGTAACAAACAGCTTTTGATCTCCAGATCCAAAAGTTAATAGTTATAAAAATATATCTTTTCATATGTTCAGTATTAGATTATAGCGTATCTGTTCCCTTATTTAATAAAGCTGTTCTGGCTAGTTTAAAAATTGTTTATCATTATGAATATTGCTAATTATGTTTATTTTTTTATTTTTAAATATATTGTATATAATTATTGAAATTTTTGTTTGCTGGAAAATAAGTTGGCCATGCTTTCGAATCGTTGGATTCGAGCTCATGCTATGGCAGTGCCTGAATAATGTTCATATAGATTTTAGGGTCCGACCGGGCAGCAACTCAATTGAGTTTCCAAATTTTAGGTTTTATTTAATATTGCAGAGACAACATGGCGCGTGTGCCTTTAGGTAAGTGTGAAATTGTTCGATTGATATAAACCATTTCATTGATTTTTTATTTTCTATTTATATTATTCCAGGACCTGGTCCAGGAGCTTATGGGTTACCACCTACCCTGGGGTACGAGAAGCATGATAACCGAAAGCTGCGAATGCCGCAATATTCGTTTGGCGCCCGGACAAATATGATGGGCGCCGATCCAGGACCTGGACCAGGGGCCTATCAGGTAGACAAGCTCACGCGCTATGGCCCGGGAAGGGGCGCCGAGTACACTATGGCCCCCATGACAAAAATAATAGGTAGGTTGCATCCGACTCGAATACAATGGCTTAAGCTAACGTAAATCCGGCTCTCTTACAGACAAGAGAGTCGGTCCCGGTCCCGGAGCACATAATGTCCACACAAAGCCGTTTTTCAAGGGGGTTACTGCACCGGCATATTCGATGGCGAAGCGTAATGAATTTAGTTTTAAGAAGTACGGACCCGGACCCAGTGCCTACAAATTCGAAGTTAGTCCCATAAAGCCAGCAGCACCAGCGTATAGCATGTATGTATTGTCGACCATTGTACTTGAATGCATATACCGAGCCGCTTTCTTTTAACAGGGGTATCCAAGCCAAGATAAATCGTAAGGCAGATTCACCAGGACCTGCGGCGTATGCCGCACATGACTTGAACCTCAAGTTAAATCGAGCGCCTCAGTATTCAATGAGGCCGACTTGTAATGTCCGTAAAGAGAATGTTGGCCCTGGTCCTCAATATTATGATTTGATGTATTATCGTCCAGGAAGATCTGGCCGCGCTTATTCATTTGGCGTACACCACTCGCCATTTGCGCCACCTATGATAGTCAGATGTGATAATATGTAATTGCAATATTAGAAAACTGTGTATTAAGAATAAAGTTAACTTATTATCATATTTTTTTGCTAGTATTCAATCATATTTGTTACGGTTATAGCCTCTGAAAAAACTATGTACATCTTAGTATAAAAGTATTCTATTAGCACCCGGTCTCCTTACTATGACATAATCCAACATTCCATGTATAAAGCTCCGTCATAAAGCATGTTAATAGTAATCTAGAGAAGTCATTTATATTACGGCTGTGACTAAAGGCCTAATCACTCCATGTGGTTTGAAACCCTAGAAATATATGGTATGTAAATATATGTATATGCATTGGCGCTCAAGCGTCTCGGTTATTTATAGTTAATGTTAGTCTATTTGCTTATTGTCTAAGGTAAGAGATTGCAAACGCAACGAAGTAAAAAAAAATGTTTGGGTACTGGAGACATTTTTAAAAACAAAGGAGGCCTTTGTGTATACGTCAGTTATTCGTTATGTTTTGATCTTTCGAATTTTGTAATATACATCTATGTACACACTTTTGTGAAAAAAATTTTTGTGAATGCAACAAAACACTGTGTAATTTGTGAATACGCGGAAATCGAAATAAAAACTAATTTCTTGCACAAAGTGCCCTCGTTTTATAAGAAAGGAGTAAGTATAATTCTAAATTGCATTTGCAAACATTACCACTTACAGTTTTATAGGCGAATTTATTATGAAACTATGTACAATAGCTACAATAATATATTTAATAATAATGGCCGCTCTGTTAGTGTTAATCATATTAATCGCGCTGAGTTCAGTGATCCCAAAATGGGTGCGTACTAAACAAAATTACAAATTCTATTGACGGTTTTGTTCACTATCTTGTTTTTTTATAGAAGACGTTTAAAATATTGCCGCGCTCGTAATAGGCTCGCAAGAAAATAGTATCGCAAAAGTTTAGCAAACTAATTTGGTAGCGATATATTAACTACCCAAAAAAAAAATACGTTTCTCCATTTGTTGTATTGCATTTCACTAAAAACCAAAAAAATTAATTGATAAAAATATGCATAAAAAATATTTTGAATATATATCATACACGTTGTGTATACAGACACACAGACACAGAATTACTTTCAAATAAAAATTCTACCCAGGCGGTCCTGTTAAACAGTTTAAAGACAAATAACCACTTAAGTGAAAGAACATTCTAAAAGAGTAACGGTGATATTTTTTTAAAATAGCCGCCCACTGTTAATAACATATTTGTCAAACGTTAAGTGCATTTCTGTTAAAGAACTAACACTGCGCCCAACTTAACTGATTTTCAGCTGTTGTATTTTTAGTTTTTTTAAATCAGTTGGCTAAATTGTAATAAAATTTCCAAGTCGCACCCCTTGACTTCAAATGTATTTTCGCAGCAGTATTGGGTGTAAATGTGAATTATGCTAAACATCTCGGCCGGCACTCTGTTGTAAAAATTTAATTTTATAAGTAAGTGAAATAGCCTTTCAAATCATTATTGCTAAAAAATCCAACTTGCCGTCAGGCGGCTCAGGGTATGTACAAAACTACATATAGGAATTTCAGCTGCACATATCACAATTGATGCAGCTGAATTAAAACGCCTAGGAACTAAGGGGCTGAAGGTCCATGATAAACAGAGGAGGCATACACATACATATACAGATACTTTGACCATCAATTTACAATATATTTTATTCTGATGCACGCAGTTCACCATTGGTAATATGATGAGCCAAGTTGCGGGTGCTGCCAGTGCAGGCGGCACCCCAATGGATGTTGCGGCTACATTAACAAGGGCTGCAGCAGATGCCGAGATTGAGACGTCAATGTTACCATCATCTGAATCTCGGACACCTGGGACAAGCGGTAGCAATCGGAAATCGGGCGGTGGCACCGCAGCGTCCAAAAGCTCAGACAATCGCGAGTTTCAATTCTTTTTCGAAGATGAGGTATTTCGCATCGATCGCAAAGGCCGCGTGCGATTTGGCGTTGTCACTGGGACAGCCGAGTCGTATTCTTCGGACGATGACGATGAGGAAATGAATGATGTGCTCGGAAAGGGCGAGGTACGTGTCGCCTTTTATCCAGATGGCAAGGAAATTGTGAGAACTGAGAAATCGGTAAGTATATTGAGGTTATGTAATTGGCACAGCTCAGCACACGTACATACATATGTACGTTTGTAGGCGTGTGTACATAACTGTGAATAACAGTTTCTTGTGTTTAGACAACTGTTTTGTTTTTGGGCACTTCAGCATTGACACGTGTTGTTTGCTTTCTATTATTGTACGTTTTTCTTCCAACTTAAACTCGAAATATGTATGTGATTCTAGATTGGTCTCGCCGACCGCACACTAATGCCAGGTGATGTGGTACGTCGCCGCCTCCCTGGGCAGAAGCATATGTCTGGCCAGGCCGGCTATGTGCGCGATGTTAATGTTCGCGCAGATGTTAAGGTATTAGGCACCAAATATGTCATCAGGAATGTTCCCTCGGAGCGCCTGAAGCCCATCTCAGAGTGGTCGCGTGACGTGCCCGTATGTTTAGGAAATTGGATTGGCTATACTGTCACCGTAGATGAGTCTGCTGTATTAAAGTGAGTAATCAGTCTCGGACCATAGGGCTCGCACTCCATTCATTGCTCATTTATTTTCATTCGTAGATCGAGTTGTGGCACACTTATTGAAATTACATCGAACGATTTTCACAAGTTCAAGGATGCCTATGGACCGAGTGAGCGCGAAGTGTTCAGTCCGAGTGTTTATTATCCAAATAATGTGGTAGTTGGTCGTTTGCCACCTTTGGACCGCATTGTTAATTTAACACCGGAGCTTCCCTTGCCAACTAATCGCAAACGACGCTCTATGGTTAGTAGTTGAATATCACTGAAGGTAGCTCATGCTGTCTATATTAGCTATTCATATATTTCATTTTGGCTTTTTAGTACACTGTGGAATCTGTGAAAACTACTGCTATAACTGTGGCTTGGACATTCAAAGCCACACCTCAGTTTGATAGTGGTACTGAATCGGATCCTCTCAAGCAGCCAAAGAGCTGTATAAAAGGCGACGACTTGGCAAATGTTAAGCGATTGAACATCTATGAATCTTATATGCTGCAAATTCACGATCGTTTCTACCTCAAATATTCGAAATGTGATAAACTTATAAAATATTCCGTCTGGGAACAGGAGCAAGGTATGCACGATGAGGGCTATTCAATAAGTTTTTTTTATGACAGTAGATTTATTTTCTAGCCAAGTTATACCAGACCATATACCAACGCCAAAAGAGTGAAGAAAATAAGCAATCTGAACAGAAAGAGCAGTCAAAGCAAAACTCATCTACCGGCATAGACAATGCGCCTTCGCCATCAGCTGCATCCAGCTCTCGCAGTGGTCATATTTTGAAGGTGCGACGGCCCAATAATAAACCAAGCAATCAACGACTAAATCGCTCGGCTGACAACGATACGAGTAATGTTTCTCTTAAGCTGTCTACCTCAACGAACTCAAGTGGAAAGAAGACGCGTGCAAACAACGATGAAATTTTGGAGGCCGGTGAAGAAGAGGCTGATGAGGAGTCTGCACTGGAAACTATGGATGCCACAGATACAATTGAGGCTGAAGCTGAAACTCCAGAAGCAGAAGGTGGAACAGCGAATCCATTGAATTCCTTTGCTTCTCAGGCAGCCCGAATTGTTACTCGAAATTTTAAGCGTAGGGCAAGCAAGAAAAAGCCGCGACCCAGTAAAAAATCTGCAATACCAAGAAAGGAAAGCGATCCAAAAGATGGCGATGACATGGTAGTCGAAACTTTGGTTGTGTATAGTTCGCTAACGGTAGTGTGGCAGGACGGATCTGTGGAATCAGGCATTCCTTCAACCGAACTGTATCCTATACATCATTTAGATAATCACGAGTTCTTCCCTGGAGATTTCGTCAGTAAAGCTAATGACTACAGCACATCGCAGATGGACTATGGAGTCATACAGTCCGTGGATCACGATGAACGCATTGCCAAAGTTAAGTGGTTCAATATCTATGGCAATATGGATAATCCAGTGTAAGTATCTGATTTTAATTGAGCCTTCAGTAATCATTGAATAACTATTTGCAGTCCATCATGCAAAGATGTGGAGGAGCTTAGTGTGTACGATTTGAAAGACCATGCGGACTACCAGTACCGACCTGGCACCATGGTCATAAGAGTATCGAATTTCACAGGAGAGGATCTGAATTCAACAGCTGGGCAAGTTATTGATAACTTTCCTGATGGTCGTGTACGGGTTTGGTGGGCCAAGGGACATATTACTATGTGCTATCCACAGGATCTCTTTGAAATCCATCAAAGCGATACTCAGGAAGCCTACGAGTCTGATGACTCAGAGAATAGCTGGGAGACGCAGTCTGAGAATAGTCAAACAATGAATCTGAGCGCTAGCATCGCATCATTGGATATGGAAGATCACATTATATCGGGAATCGATCGTGCCAAGGAAGCAATTCAGCGACTTGAAAAAATCTTTCACGTTCTACCAGATCAGCGCAAGGCCGATGTTCTCAAAGATCTGTTAGCTGTATACAATAACTGTCGGTTCCTTGATCGTTTTCTTAAAACAGATTTCTTTCACGAAGATTACTTTAATGGAATTTTATGCGTAAAGAAATGTGATCAAACCCCGAAGCAACCTGAATCAGCAGTTACATCGAAAAAATCTAAAACGATTACAAGTGATACACCTCAACCTGCTTTGGACTTAGCCAATCTCACTGTGGAAATGACTATACCCGACATAGCTTCGCCAGTTGTGCGTCAAGCAGTTAAACTGGAGATCCCTCCGATCCCCCAAGCTGCATCGACATCGACTCCAAATAAAAGAAAGTCATCCACTAATATAGAAGAGGTGCAGTGTAAAAAGACTACCAGCAGCGAAAAAATCAATGTTGAGGACTCTGCAGAACAGTCCGTGTTACTGGACAATATATCATTGTCAGGCAGTGAGACGCAGCTTACATACAATGAGCTAATTACTAAGTATCGCAGCGAATATGCAGATATGATTAGGACGGCCAGAGTCAGTATTGCAAAGGCCTTCGAGAAGCATAAGAATAGTAAAGTACGTACTATATCCATGCACTTATCGTGAATCTCACTTTTTACTATATATTATTTACAGAATGATTCTGGAGTACACTCGCGCGGGGAAAATAGCTCTAGTGAAGTCATTGTCGGTAGCGAACCAAAGGACAATAGCCAAGGTGAAAAGAATCAGTCGATGTTGAGATCATCTTCCAACACCAGCATTGAGTTGGTGGCTAACCATGATGCAGACGTCTGTGAAGTCTTCTGTTTTCTTATCAAAGAGCAAATGGCAAAGTGCCGTGAGGCAATTGTGGAGACATTCGGCAGAAATAAAACCGAAGATAAAGATGCAGATGACCATATATGCGATGTGGATGTGGATGTGGATGTGGATGTAGATGATGATACCGAAATGTCAGACCAAGAAATGCCACAAGTATTTGATAAAGATCAGGATCAGGTTATGGAACAACCATTAAACCTGAATGGACTCTCTGAGTCATTGCCGCCACTCGAAAGCCCAAATGCTTGTTCATCACCCTCTCCTATTATACCTAGCAATAATTGTTTCGAAGTAGTTCCAAACGCACCACTTAGCCATTATTTTATTGGAAATATTATACACCCGAACAACAAGGCGCATTATCAGCGTGCCATTCAGCGAGAGTATGCTATGCTGCAGGCATCGCTACCGCCAGGTGTTGTTGTGCGTGCCTATGAGGATCGCATGGATCTCATGTCTGTCATGATGGTGGGTCCCAAACGCACGCCTTATCAAAACGCCCTCTTTTTCTTTGACTTCCAAATGGGGTGTGACTATCCTAAGACTCCTCCCACCTGTCATTATATAAGCTTTTGCACGGAACGTCTTAATCCTAATCTATACGAGGAGGGCAAAGTGTGCGTCTCACTGCTGGGAACTTGGTCTGGACGTGATACTGAGGTTTGGTCACCACAAAGCACAATGCTGCAGGTTTTAGTCTCTATACAGGGACTCATACTTGTAGATGAGCCCTACTATAATGAGGCTGGCTATGAGAAGCAGCGTGGTATGTTGTCAAGTGAAAAATCTGATTTTGATTTATTATAACATCCATCTATTTTTAGGTACTCAGTTGGGCAACGAAAACTCACGTGTCTACAATGAAATGGCAATAATAAAGATTGTCCATTCCACTGTAAAACAACTGCAAAATCCTCCATTCATATTTCGCAAGGAATTGATTGAGCACTTTAAGGAATTTGGTAATGAGTTATATAGCCGCATGAAGAACTGGTCTGACTATTCGGCCGAGGCCCAGCGATTAAAGATAACTAGCATTAATGGTTAGTTTGGTTTGGTTTATTACAATAAGAATTTTAATAATGGAATCGTATTCTACAGATATGCCGAAAGACTATAAAATACCATGTGAAATGCCCGAATTTCCACTGTTGCCCTGCAGTCGCGGCTTTTGCATTGCTGTCAAGGGAATCTTGGAAACCTTACAAAACGAGTTAACTGCACTCGAAAAAAGGGAAGAACGCGAGACAACTGTTCCTACTATGGCCACAGCACCGCGTGCTGCACCCGAAGATGTGTGATTTAAGCGAATATACACAATGCTCTATGTTTGTCAGCCTTGCCTTCGTTGTGGTGCCTATTATATGAATAACAAGACTATCACCACCTTGCTCTTGAAATTGAGCCCTTAGCAGGGCCAATTTCTTTTATATTTAAGTAATTACAGCTCGAATACTATCAATCTTATTAACTTGGCTTGTTGACCGGCTAACAAACTTTATAACCAAAAAAAGAAGATATTATTCCTAAATTTGTCGCTTATCATTTGTAAAAACTTTTTATTTATTTAGTTAGTAGTCTCTCTTTCTTTTTATGTTCACCCCAAGTTCATGCGTATACAAAACAAACAAATGTTGCCTTTAAAATGTGTAACGTCAATAGAACTTATTATTAACATTCATATTTTCTGTACATAGTCTAGTTTTCCCTCAATTTATTGAACTACGAATTATGTATGTAGCATTTTGAATTTTTTTTTTTCGAGTTCTTATCAAAATGTTTGGGGAAAATTCTTCTTGTTCGCCTCTGATCTTTATTTATATTGTATTTATATAAATTGCGCTGTAGCTTAGTGCTCTTAGTCAAAATATGAAGCTCCATCTGGTAAGGAGCCCCAGCATTCCACTATTTATAATGTAGTAAATCAAGCGATTGGTCACAACGCTTTCTTCAAATTTAATAAGCTAGCAAATGCCAGATATACTATGTGAATAATAAATTACCAATTTTATTTATTAAAGTAAACGATCGACTTAAGGCTCTAATTTTTCCAAAACCCAGTCCACATACTGTCCTACTCGAGTGTAGACGCCCGGCCATCCATGCAGGCCGCAGGGCTTGGGTCCGTATGAAGTGACCCCGGCCACAAAGAATACTTCTTTCATTCCCACATTGGTAGCTACCATTAGCGGTCCACCGGAGTCACCTTGACAGGTGTCAATATTTACCTTGCCACCAGCGCACAGCTGTGAGCTATTCAGATGCATCTGGTAGCTACGGTACTTATTTTGGCAATTCTTAAGTTTCCACACGTCCACAGTGATCTTAAGCTTCACTTTACTGGGCTTGCCATCCTCGGTGACACCCCAGCCTGCAACGTCCATGGCATAGTCCTCAAAATTGTTGTTCCGAACATCATCACCCACCGGCAGACAAATGGGTTTCACATACTCCGTAAAGCTGACGAATTGCTTAAGGCGTAGCAGCGCAATGTCGTGCATCTGGTCAATCGAATTCGGGATATATAGCTCGTGTACGATATACTTTTCAACCTCAATGTCCATGTGCATGGGTGCGCAAGTACGTTTCTTGTTAGCCAGCTCGATGATACAGTCCGGGGCAGTGCTTATGTTCCACTCGCCCAGACGGACACTGTGCAATTCCCATCCGTACATTTGCAGCTGATTACTAGCCACGCAGTGGCCGGCGGTCAGCACGTAGCGAGAGTTGATCAATGCGCCGCCGCAGTTGAAGCCCAGCTCATTATCGGCTGTCAGTTAAAAAGCGAAATATTCGAACATGTGATTGGAAAGTAGATATGGTTTTATAGATCTTACCCTTTTTATATTGAAGCAGCGCCATCCAAGGGAACTCGAAGAGTTCCGTCTTAATGCCGCCAATAATGCGATTGGCAAACATAATGCCACAAGTTCCAATACTTGGCAAGACGTTACCCGGCTCGAATTCGTCTCCCAAGGGATTTATGACAGGCGTCACGTTTTCTGTGCCAGCTCCATTCCTGGAGCTTGTGCCGGTGCTTTGTATCCGGCGTTTGCTGTCCGGGCAGCAGACAAGAATGCGCTGCACTAGGCCGCTTTGCCTTGTGTTATCCAAGCCGCACTGGCTATCGGAGAGCAGTTGACGTTGCTCTGGCGTTGTCTGGCTTATGTTGAGTATTTCGAAGAGAAATGGGCAGTCTCGTATATGAATGCATAGACCGCGTTCCTTGCTACCCTTCACATCGCAGCTGCCATAACTAAATTGCGCAGTGGTTGCAGCTAACGGAGATCAGCTCAATGTCAATATGATAATTAGAATTACAAAACTATTGCACAACCGGTAAGACCGGTTCCAGTTAATAGAAGACTTGAGATTTGGAGACAGGATGGCACAGTTCTATTGACGTAAGACCAAAAAGTATCAATGACCTTACCAGTAGTGCCAATGCCGCACAATGCACCAATCAATATCAGCTGTAGCCTTAGTGCCGCCATTTACTGCTAGATTACGTCCGTAATATTTACGTGTATCAATCGCCGCGAGCTTCGCGTCAAGACTAAGTTCGCCTCAGCATTAACGAGCAGTTGATAGCTAGCAGACGGAGGCTGCTCGCTATCTCTCTCAATAAATCGGCCAGATGTCATAGGTGATCGATTGTAAATAAGCTTGTATGGGCGGTATAATAAACTCCCCAACTACCGGCCACTCAGCGACCCACCAGATAAATAAACCACAACTTTCCAAGTCTGTTTCCATTCTGCGCTTTACTCGGAATTCGTTGATCTTGCAATTGCAGCCAACTTAAAATCATATGATTAAAGCTAATGCCAACAAATATAGAAATGTGTTGTGGCATTGTTTAACCGGTTATTGGGTTATGATTATACGAGTATGTTTATATGCTTGAATGTGTTTGTGTTTATAACTTTAAGATGCAAACAGAGCTGGAAATAAAACTAAATCTTGTTGCTGTTGTTGGCATAGTTGTAGACCTGCTGGAAACCTTCACCGTCATCGCCCTCGCCATCGTCCGAGTCATCAGAATCAAATGTATTATCGGGAATATCGTACAAGCGAATAATCGGCTTGTTGGGATCCTTCATGATCAGATATTTTCCGTCCTTCTGCTTCATCACAAGGTCAATAATACACCGCAAAATGCCCCAGGCGTTGTCCATGCTCAGATTAATCTGCGTGGCAAACTCATGCGGCTTAAACTGCTGCGTGCCAAGGATAACGTGACGCGAATGATCACGAGGATTAATACGCGATACATAGCCCAGTTTTAGCTGATCGGAGCCTGCGAGCACAGCTTGCACCGTCCACTTGGCTAGTTTGCAGGCATTGTTTCTCAGCTCGTTAGCCAACACAGCGCCGCGTTGCGTATCCAATTTCTGGCGCCACTCAACGCCATTGGCCAGTTTGGAGTCCCATTCGTTTAGTGCCTTGATCGACAAAAACTGGGGTTCTCCGCTCGGGGTTTGCAGCACACCATCATGTTCGCAGCGGGCCACAAGAACCTGTTGTTAATAGTATTCAAATTAATATACATTATTTGAATAAAGAATAATTAGTGCTTACAATGTCGCTTCCCAGTTCCCATTTCTTGTAGCGATAGCCAACACTAGCCACTTGGATGTCCTCATCTTCGCTGATAAATGGATTGGGTTCCTCAAATTTATACTTGGCCTCCTGGTCGCCGGTCTTGAGCACTTGCTGGCTAAAGTTGTGGTTTATAAAGGTTGCCTCAATCGCCAGATTACGCGGCGAATTGCACGAGCTGTCGTCATCAGTAGGTGGCTCAACGCTAGTCTCATTCACGGTTAGCAAATCGAATTCGGTATGGTCTCGTTTATCCATGAAGATCTTCTCGCCTGTAGTTAAAAGTATAGTTAGAGCAGTTACTTTTGGTATAATCTAAATATACCTTACCAACTTTTTCGATGACAATATCCCACGAGTAGTTGGAACGCGTTGAGCACATAATGGTAGCCAATATGGCATCCGTGGCAAAGACATTACCAATCGTTTTTGATAGACGACGTATGACAGGATCATCGGTCGTGGTTACGGTATGCACAATTCTATCAATCTTTTGCAGCGGTTTCTCGTTCTTCACATTGATGCGATCGTACGTCTTATCATAGTACTCGAGGGTGCCACAAGTTGTGATATCTTCACCTTCCTTTATGTTCGGCAAAGAAAGCTTCATAAGACGCGGGAAGTCCATCTCCTCAATGGAGGCCCAGTCGGCACGCACAGCTACGGAAGACTCGCGCATCTTGGGTGGGGGACCACGATTGCCAAATCGCTTGCCCACACCTCGGCGAGGATCACGCGCCTTCACATTCTTGCTGTTTAGTGTGGTCATGCCATGACCATGCGTATTGAGACCGCCGCGAGCATTGCGGCCACGTCCAGATCGTGAATTACGCATATTGCGGAAGCGTCCGCGTTGATGAGGTGGCTTCTGAACTCGCGCCGTATCCACTAGGTGGAAAGTTGTCTCATCCTCCTCATGATAATAGGCATATTGATTGCCGGTGCCAAAAGTAGAAGCATATTTGTCTGCAAACAAATGATTAGTCTCGTATTCGTTGCCACGACACACACACACAAACATAGCAAAGGCGTTTGAACATAACCTCACTTTGTGCATATGCAAAATACAAATTTGGATGAAACATACTTTGATACTTCTTGTCATTATTGGAGGTGCTTGTCCAATCGCAGATCTTGCCCAGGCGATCGTTCTTGCTGAATGGCTGGTATGGGACATCCTTAAACGTGTCCGGCAGCTCGCATGGTCCCCAGCCCTTTTCATTGAACTGCACGGTCGGTTTCTCGAAGCTCGGAAACTGAGCCGCGGTATTAATAGTTTCGCTCATTTCTCTCTTGTTACTAGTTGACCTCTTCTCAATTATTTTATGCAATTGTAAACCCGCAAAAATTATGAAGCCAGTGTGGAAAAGAAAACCGTGACGGGCTCGCAAATTCGATGCGAAGGAGAGAGCGACAGTTACCGCGATTACTCTTAGAGATGTGCGGTATTCATGAACCAGTAACGACTACTGATTATTCTTAAAGTAACGATTACGTGATTCCATTTATCGTGTATATTTTATTTAACGGAAAATATTACATTTAAACAATTAAATGTGAAAATTATAGTATATGACTGAACGCATTGATATTACAAACTACCCATTATAAAATATTTTTAATTTTGTATATAGCGCAGCTTCCATTGCATGGAGTCTAATGGGCGGGCTTATAAATATGTATTTTACATTGTAGACATGTAACTTATAATGAAGCAGCAGAGTTCAGGGGGTACATCTCCTCCGCAGAGAATATTATTATTGAATATTATTATGCAGATTTACAAACTCTTTTGTATTGTGGAAATATTCTATGATAGTTTACCTGCAAATTAAATAGAATGCAAGTGTGCATTGTTTTGGGCTTAATATTACATACGAAGTAAAGCATATTGGTTTTGTACAAACTCCTTTTTGTCTGGCAACGAAATTTCGTCTTTAATATTGAATTGAAAGAGTGGAAGTTCTGAAAGATTTATTTTTATACACATAAGGTGTTTTTAGTTGTAAATCAGAATGCTGTACTGCTTTTGCAGTGTGAAAAAGTATTATGAAATCGGGTTTTCTCGACTGTAGCTGCTTTGCATACCGGTTAATATTATATTTAAGACTGTTAGCAATATTAGTTCGGCAGTTCAATTTGTGAGAAAGCTTTTCACCTTTCATTGGGCTCATTAACTTAGCTATCGAGATTTTCGATTCGCATTCGTTACGCTTATATGCAAGTCAGCCCTTAAACATGCTGACAATTCAATTCTGTAGCGCGCTTATAAAAGCATCCAGGACAAATCGCCAATCCAACAGTTCCTTTCAAAATGTGGGTGAAACAGTCCGTGAACAATTTTCCAAATTCCCAGCAGTTGGCTAGCTTTTGGTTGCATTTGCTAACTGAGCTTCGATTCGGCACAGTTTTGTACTACAAGGCCGACGAGTGTGAGTGCTGGATTGAAAAGTTACTGAGAAGTAACGTAACCGCAGCAACTTTGGTATGGAGCGATTTGTATTATAGGCCCTTTTTAAAGGAAGAGCAGAATGCAAATATTCTTGGGTTGGTGTGCTTGGACGCTGACTCGTATAACACTGTGCTCAACGCGCTGAGTGTGATGCTGAACCAGATGAGGGAGGTGCCGCTCCTGCTACAGCTTTGCGACAAGGATTCGAGTCCAGTCGAGCTGCAGCTGCAACTGAGTCGAGATATTCTTAAGAAATGCCAGGATTTGCTTATTCCGAACGCGTTGCTTATGTTCGGCGATTTCTTTAGGACAGGCGCCTTTTATGGATATCGGATGTTTCCCACATTCGGATTACTATCGCAGGTCTACAGTGCCACATCGCCCCTCTATCCCAATAAGCTGGCCAACCTACAGGGGCAGATTTTAAGGACACGACCCGATCTATCGCAGCCGTATGTAGTTATGTACAAGGATCGCAATGGGAATGCGGTAACTAGTGGTATGCTCTGGCGGATCTTGAGCGTCTTTGCACAAAAATTGAATGCCACACTAGAGCTGAGCTTGGATCCCACTTCGAGCCAAGTCAACTCCATAAAGAGCGGTTATTTCAAGCTTTTGGAGCAAATACAAAACGACGAAATCGACATCACCATCAGTATCTACCCGATGATTATGTCGTCGAGAAGACACATTGCAATGTTCAGCACTCCCGTTGCCGTTAGAGGCTTATGCACGATGCTGCCAGTTGAGCGTATGCTGAGTCCTCGTGCGGCCATCCGAGGAGTGCTGGAGTCACCCTGGATGTGGGTCTACATAGCCATTATTTACTGTTTGACACGATGGATACGTAAACGTCGACTGCTAGGCAGAGCCCTTCTGATCTTAATCCCCTCACTGATTCAACTCACGCTGCTCTGCACGGTGGTGGCGCAGCTTTCGGCCCTCTTTATTCATCCCCAACGACTTCAATTCATCTCCACTTTGGACCAACTGCAGGCAGCTGGATTACGGATAGTTGGATTGCATTCCAGCTTCAATCAGTATCCCGAGGAGATGCGAATCAAGTACGCATCGAGCTTCATATCATACGAGAACATGACCAAATTTGTATTGCTGCGGAATAGTCTGAATACCTCGTATGGTTACACGGTCTACGGCCTCAAATGGCACTTCTATGCGGAACTGCAGAGCTACTTCAAGCGACCCTTGTTTCGGTACTCCACAGATATTTGTATATTTCGACAGTCACTCAACTCGTTATTGTTTCGCGAAAACTTTTTGCATCGCCATCAATTGAATTTGTATATCGTTCGTTTGCGTCAAAGCGGAATTCTTAACTTTTATATGAGGCACAATTTTTACGATTTACTGCACGCGGGCCAACACAAACTGGAGGACTTGAGTCCACAGAATGAAATAACACCACTGAAGTACACTGATATAGATTTTATACTGCGGCTATATGGCTACGCAATGGCCGCATCAATACTGATATTTGTCTTTGAGTTACTTTCGTACTATATCAATGTTTGCCTAAACACATTGTAGAAGTTTGAGCCGAAGCAAATAATTAACGTAATATTTCTAATCTGAATAGCGGTTGCTTCAATACTCTTCTGCACCTTTGTCTAAATGCTTATATGTAACTGCAAATATATGAAATATAATTTCACAAAATAAAAATAAATTAAAATCAAAAATGTTTTTATATATAAGCTTTAAAATGCAAGTACGAATATCGTCATATCCAGTCAGTTTATATATTTGTAAAAAGGCAAGCCAATTGCAATTAAGAGCACTCCCAAATATCGAGTGTATGAGCATTGTATCCCTTATACTTAGAATAATAATTACTAGGTAATACGTTCAGTTAGTTGCATTGAGACCTTAGCCATGAATGATAGTCTTAAAGTCTATGCTGAGCTGCTCTCGGCCATTGTTCGCATCAACAGCATTACTACAATTGTATATTATGATCCTGAGAACGGCGGTGAGGAGTGCCAATTGGTTAAAATGCTATCGTGGGTAGCCAAGAGCATTCCTTTGCTCTTGTGGCGGTCAGTGGATGCTATAAAGCTGAGCAGCTTGGTCAATGCACAGCTGGTGTTCGTGGCGTGTTTACCTGGACTCTATCGCCTCGATTTGCTAAAGACAATCGCAACCAGCTTGCGGTATATTCGGGAGACCAAACTGCTCATAGAACTAGCTAGCGATCCGGATGTGGACCTGGTCAGCCGAGTGTTGCAGTATTGTCTGCAAAGGTCGATGCTCAATGTTGCCATCATTTTTGGGGACTTTGGGCAGACCCAGACGTTGTACGTGTACGATGCGTATCCCGAATTCATGCTGAAGAGTCAAACATTTTCGGATCAGCAAAACATATATCCGGACAAAACAATTGATCTTATGGGTTTTCGGCTTCGCACGATGCCCGATCTCTCAGAGCCAAACACCATACTCTATCGCGATAAGGCAGGGAATATTCGGCTGCTGGGCTACGTATGGGATATAGTGTCAGAGTTCTCGCGCAAACACAATGCCAGCTTGCAGCTGATCGACGAGGCGAAAGAGCTGAAGTACTTGACCCACATCCAAGTATTGGACCTGGCGCGCGACAACATCGTGGATATAGCGGCAAGCGTGCAGCCACTGACACTGCGCCACCTGGACCGCTATCATCAGTATGCATATCCAGCAAATATCGCCAGCTGGTGCACCATGCTGCCCAAGGAGCCACTCGTGGAGCTGCGAGAGGCGTACCTGTGGATGATGCCAGCGATTACCTTCTGCTTGCTGGCAGTACTTTGGCTAGTCCACGATCAGCTGAGGTGTCGTTGGCAACGCTATAGACGTCAACTTGGAATTGGCTGGAAGGTGTTGGCCATTATGTTGATCTGCAATGCGCAGGGCAGGATGCTGATGTTGTTTATCGCCCCGCCCGCCAAGACACCTATTACCAGCTTTGAAGCACTGTCCAATTCCAAGCTGCGCATCTTCGGGATCAGATCCGAACACAATTTGTATGATTTTGATATGCGGACGAAATATTCGCAGGTGTTCTACCTCAGCAACAAGATGTCGGACCTGCAGTGGCACCGTAACTCCCTGAACACTTCGTACGCCTACACCGTAACCTACACCAAATGGCAGCTATACGCGGAACAACAGGCGTTCAGCCACCGCCCGTTGTTCTACTACTCGGAGAACTTTTGCTTCTATCAATATGTACCCTTCGGCTTGGTCATTCCGGAGAACTCGCCGCATCGCGCCACGCTACATAATTTCATCTTGCAATTGAGTGAATCGGGCCTGCATAACTATTGGGTAACCAAGAGCTTCTACTACATGGTGCAGGCGGGCAAACTGGAAATTCAGGAATTAGGAGAAGCACGAAGTTTTCATTCGCTGTTCATCCAGGACTTATATGATGTCCTGCTAGCTTATCTACTCGGTATCATAATTAGCCTCGCACTCTTCGGCATCGAGCTAGCTGTATATCACGCAACATATTGGCTAAACAATTAAAGAGTTAAGGGTGAAAGCATATACCCATTGGAGCTCTGTCAATAATAGTTTACTTGAGTTCCGTATATGAAAATAAATATTAATAGCCAAACAAATCGATGGCTGGTTTTAATGGTATTTTTATGAACCCAAATAAGGACGTGCAGTATAATTAAGTATTCTAATTATAAACTTAGATTTTATTTTAATGAACTTACCAACACATAGGTCTGTCGGAAGAATATTTCTAGTGTTTATTTGAGTATTTGCACTTACGTGAGAAAAATCAATTGAAACTTCATAAAATATTAGTTGAGTTTTACGTTTTACGTTTACGTTTTCAGTTTTTTATAAGTTGAATGCGAACGTAAGAATTCAATAAAGTAACGTCAAACTGTTAATTTTACAGACGTAAAAAATCGTTAACACTCTGTAGTTTGGTTACTGGAAGTCTGTTAAGTCGGAGCTGCGTTATCACATTTAAGGCGGAACAAAAAATAGTTGCTCAAGTAAATGAAACAACGGATCTTGTTCGTTTGAGCACTGACCAGAGAACACATAGACTAGACATGTAGAACAAATTTTTCTACAGCT